ACATTTAATGTCCGGAAATAAATGAAAAATAAAATAAAACACGAGATAAAAAACAGTTTACGATAATAATTATAATAATGTTAACAATGGATTCTATGGCCAACACTTCAGCCCAACGGGTGATTCTGGACAACACCGCCGTTGTTGAGCACCTCTTCGGCGATCGCTTTCATTGTCGAGTAGTTCTTCAGGTCTTGAGTGCCTCGAAGTTGACTCAGATTTGTCGCTATCCGTACCGATGCCTACAAAATAAACAATCAATTATTACAGTTGTTTATAACGAGAGTAATAAATAATAAACTAATAGTTTGACATTAAGAATACAAACAATCATCGATATGGGGAACAAAAAAGGTTTAAGACATTTAATCCAAAACCACAAGTTGTTCACAATATAAATCAATTGCTGTATTATTAATGACACATATGTGTCCACAACCGGTCAGGCAGACAACCCCACGGCCGCCACTAATCCTATACCTCATTGCAAAACAGATCCGCGATCTTCTTCTCAATCCCAGCGCTCGACAGGTTCTTCTCCAGAGCTCTGGACGCGCGGCTCAGCACTACTACAGAGGCGTAGATATCAATGGCCGCGTCGGCCAGTCGTCGCTGAAGCATCTGTTCGTTGATAATGTTTTTGTTGTATTTGATGAGCAGGTGTTCAACGGATGCGCCAACGCGCGGCTCAGCACTACTACAGAGGCGTAGATATCAATGGCCGCGTCGGCCAGTCGTCGCTGAAGCATCTGTTCGTTGATAATGTTTTTGTTGTATTTGATGAGCAGGTGTTCAACGGATGCGCCGAAGTTCTGGATGGACTTCGAGACCAGTGCCGCGTTGTCCCGGAGCTGAGGCGCCACGTATTCAGACAGCGATGGGCCGGACGATAGGCCGACAGTGCGGGCGAATCGTTTAGTGCCGGCACCAAATATGACTCCTAAGTTGGCCACCGGGTTATTCATCGCCCGCTGCAACTCTTTGAGGTGTCCGCCGGCGTATTGCAAACCTATCGGTAGAGACCAAGTGGTTATACACAGTGTTGACCACTAAATTGATAATCAGTATTAATCATTACTAACCCGTGAGCGCCACAAACAGTCTCATGACATCATTGGTTCCCTCGAATATACGGAATATACGGATGTCCCTCAAAATCTTCTCGAGTCCGGTCTCTCGCATATAACCCATACCCCCGAGTATTTGTATGGCCTCATCGCACACATACCACGCGGCCTCCGATGCGTGAATCTTACTGACGGCCGCCTCTAACTGGTAGTCGCCGTATCCCATGTCCATCATTCCACTGGTCGAGAGAGAGAGAGAGAGAGAGAGAGAGAGAGAGAGAGACCGGACTCGAGAAGATTTTGAGGGACATCCGTATATTCCGTATA